ACATCTGCGTGGTCTTCCCATCCGGACACTCACTGATGTCCAACCTTTACTTCTCATCGGTTCAGATCAGCCCTATCTCATAACCCCAACAGAGCCTGTTCGATGGGGTGACCCTGGTGCACCAGCTGCAGTTCACACACGCCTAGGATGGACACTTCAGGGTCCTATACCTTCTATGGGGTGTCCCCCTACCACACGGCAATGTCTGCTAACCTCTATTGCTCCAATTCAGGATGAACTCCTTCAGAACGTTCAACGACTGTGGCAGTTGGATACGGTCCCACAGTGGGAGGGAAAAGAGGTAACCCGGTCCAAGCAGGACCAGGAGGCTCTTCAGCTGCTGGACCGTAAAACTCTCACCCTGGAAATGGAGGGAATCAACCGGTTGGCAACACCCCTACTGCGGCGAAAGGACATGCCTTCATTGAATGCACCTAAAGAATCAGTCCTACCTACCCTTCGCAGTGTGGAGAGGCGTCTGCTGAAGGAGCCTGTAAAAGCTGAGGTCTACAAAGAGGAGATGAGGAAACTCATTGAGACGGGAGCTGTTAGGAAGATGTCTGATCCTATACCTGATTCACATGAATGCTGGTACATCCCTCACCATCTCGTGAGTCACAATGGGAAGTTCCGCCTTGTCTTTAACTGCTCCTATCAGTATCAGGGACAAAACCTTAATCAGTACCTCCTGCCAGGACCCACCCTCGGGGCCTCACTGTTGGGTGTCCTTATCCGTTTCAGAGAACATCCTGTGGCAGTAAGTGGGGATATTAAGGCGATGTTCCATCAGGTTCGCCTTATACCTGAGGACCGTCCTCTACTCCGTTTCCTTTGGCGGGACCTGAAGATGGATGAGGCACCCAGAATTCTTGAGTGGCAGGTATTACCCTTCGGCACAACCTCCAGTCCGTGTTGTGCTACCTATGCACTACAGCGTCACGTGCGGCAACACCCCCTAACGGATGAGGCAATCCGGTTTTCAGTGGAGAGGTGTTTCTATGTCGATAACTGCCTGCAGAGCCTGCCTACGGCAGATGAAGCTCGGAACTTGATTGATCGACTACGAAATATCCTTTCCGGAGCTGGATTTGAAATTCACCAATGGGCCTGCAATGATCCTACGGTGCTCTTGCCCGACAGAGGATCCACTTCCGCTTTAATCCTCCATCGGCCCCCCATTTTGGTGGAGTTTGTAAACTATACTAAACGAGCATTTTATAGGCTATAGCCTATTCCGCGCTTAAGTGGATCGCATAAATATCTAGAACATATTTTATTTAGGCTACTTATGACTAAACTGTTTTCTGAGTCAGTGTATGCAAATATGAAGTTGATGCTGATGAACGACTTTATTCTCGAAATTTAATTATTTTCTCAATATTTTATTTCTACATTTTTCTAGATATTTAATGAGTTTAATCTCGCATTATAGACTAATGACTTCATTCTGGAGATGTTTATTATTATTATTATTGTTTGGCCCTATAATCCTCTTTCTTACGCTCTCAATTGGCACGAATCCAAATGTTTCCATATTCACAATGGTGGCTATCTGAATTTGAATGCAACAGACTATTATTTATTAGGCCTATGTAAACCAGGCTTTGTACTTAACCCGCTTTCCAAAGAGATGGCTAATCAGCATCGTCAACTTCATTTTTGCATAATAATAATAATAATAATAGCCTACAAGGAAGGAATAACTGACAACGTGCCGTTGAATTACAGAAAGAAACAAGGTACCGTCACAAAATTATTATAAGCTATTCTGTGTCTTAAGACAAGTTAAGTTAGAACAAGTTCAATAAAATATCTTAATTATATTTCTACAGTAGAGGAGAATAGCCAAACCAAAAAGAAAACAATGTAACATTCATAAAACCGTACTCAATTGAATGCGCACATGTGACTGGGGCTAGTGCCATCTAGTGGTCGCTGATTTTCTGTGGCTCAGCTGCATGCGTGTCACCTGATCCACATATGCACGGATTCCTTTTTGCATGAGCAATTTATGATATATTAATGCAGAACAGAACATTTTTATTCACAAACACCAAATACACAAAATAATGTTCTTTTTAGCAACATCATATGACCCCTTTAAAAAAAATTAGCATGTCTGCTTTTTCAGGATACAGACAAGCATTGGTGAAATATAGCCACACTTTTGATCTTGTCCACATCTTTTAGACTTCGTTTACACTACTGTGTTTTTGTATTAAAACGTATAGCTTAGACATAATTATAATTTCTATTAATTTTACACATATTTACATGATCTGATGAGCATTAGCTACTTCCAGCGCTGTCTCTGTATGTTTTCTCTTCCGGGATCTCTGTTATGACTCTGAGGAAGCTCATTCGCTGCTCATATATCAATCATATTATGCATTCATAACCTGCCCAGTCTCCGGGGATGACCGTCCATTACACTTTTGCATTCAGTTCTATACATAAGAAACCCAGAAAAACATTTTTACGGATGAAACATGAAGCTAATAAACACATGATTACAACAGTATATGATTTGAATGTGATTTTCATGAGATTCGGCCTTATTTTCATAACAATACAGTGTGTTTACATGAGAAATGCTAAGCAGGTGTAGCAATTAGCTTGATATGAAAGGCTACAAATAACATATTTCAGCAACATTATATGACCAAAACCCACATTAGATCGCATCGGAAGTTATTACAAACACTGAATAGAAATGTAGTATAAATCGTATAAATTGTCTTATGTAGCATGATGCTACAGTGTGCATGAATTAGTGTTGTCACGGTACCAAAATTTCAGTATTCGGTACCAATACCAGTGAAAATCCACGGTTCTCAGTACCAATTTCGGTACCAGAGCAAAACACAAAAACATGCTAATTGAACAACATTTTTATTAATAACGTTAAACAAAAATTTTATGAACAAAACCAATGCCATTCTTTATACTTATTTAAAAGTGTTTCAAGTTTTCCCACAAATAATAAAAGTATGAAAAAAGTTAACAAGTTTCACCCAAAAGTTTAGTCATAGTTCTGCTGCCACTGAAAAACATCTGTAAACTGTCTGTTTTAGAGTTTGCTGGTGTGTTTCAGGATCTTCCTCAGTCTGCAGCTGTAAAAGGAAAATATAATATACTTAAGTAAAGCAATGGGCTGAGTCTGACCAAATGCAACATTAGATCATTGACACCAACTAAAATATAACTTTTCAGTAAATAACAAACCTCAGCTTTTATAATAAATTTAGATAAGATTACATATATTAAGTGTATATCAAATAGATGGAAACTGTAGTATTAAAAACACTTTACAATAATATTTTATTTGTTAGATAACATGACCTAACAATAAACAATAGTTATATGGCAATTATTCTTCTTAGGGTTAATTTCAAAGTTCAGTCTGTTAAAATTATTTAATGCACAATGAACAAACATGAATTTTGAACAAAATTTTATTGTTTTGCCACGATTTTATTTTTTAGAAATCGAGGAATCGCAATTTTGAATAGAAATATTACCAAATGTTTGAATAAAGCCCCGTTCACACCAAGAACGATAACTATAAAGATAACTATAAAGATAACGATATTAGCATCCACACCAGCGAACGATATCGTCTGTTTATTCTAAGCGCACATGCGTCTGCCGCTTTAAATTCTTGAGCTCGTTACAGCAGGATGGATTCTGATTGGCTGTCAGTGTTTTATCGTTCATCAGCTGGAAAAAAATCATTTTGAAAGTGATCACAACGATATCGTTCCTCTGTATCGTTATCGTTATAGTTGTGGTGTGAACTATGCTATTCTTTAATATTGAGAACGATTTTTAGAACTATATCGTTATCGTTATCTTTATAGTTATCGTGCTTGGTTTAATAATGTGATTAAGGTGTTTACATGTCTATTCTGCACTTCAGTAATGCGACTAAAATAGGAATACTCCACATGTCTTAATTCGATTTCTGTTTACTTCGATTATGACTTTAGCCGGATTAAGGTAATCAAAAATCTCTGTTTACATGGTAGATTCTTAATCAGAGTATTGTCTTAATCGTATTAAAATCGGAGTATTGTTGTCCATGTAAACGTACGCAAAATAGACATGTAAACACCTTAATCAAATTATTACCGTCGTGTAGGACTTTTCGGCGCATTTTGTGGCAGGATACACACATGGCAGTGCTCAACCGTTTGACGGCAAATAAAAGAGCTTAATTACCGCCATCGTCTGTATGCACGTACAAATAATTAACTGCACTTGAAGCTTTCATAAAATTAAAAATGAAACACCCAAAACTGTACATGGCATCATCACGAAGACGAACTATATGTTTATACTTGAAATTCCGGAGGGGACCTCGGATGGCGTCACATGGGGACATAATGTAAAACTAATGTAAAACGAACATGAAAGGAATATTCTAAAAGCAATTCATGTAAACACTATAATCATAATATTGGCTTATTTAGAATAAGTTAAATAATTAGATTACTGATGTTCATGTAAATGTAGTCACTGAGTCATTCATTCAACCGATTAGTTCGAAGTCAATTAATAATAACTTCTTTTTTATTGAACTGTTTTATGAAATTAATATCAAATTTGCAATCATGCTGATATTTGGACAAAAACTCTTCATGTGTTATTAACTATATCAAATGATATAAATATAAAAGTCATACGGGGGCATTTTTGCCCCCCTAAAATTGAATTTAGGGGGAATTCTGAATGTATTTTAATCTAAACATGAACTCTAAATGTGCACGAGCAGTAGTCTAACTTACATCACTCTATGCATGCACTCTCTGGGTATGTTTTTGTTTGTTTTTTGCAATATACTCGATGTCAAATCGCATATCGTTAAACAACAATTATGATATTATCACAGACAATATATATTGGACACCCCTATAGTTTATGCATTATCAGCATATCATTTTTATGATTATACATCTTTGGTTATTTATACATTCTGTCTGAATATTTCTTTCCTCCAGATCAAAAATGGGTTCAAGTTAACAGTGCAGAGGAAGCATTAAAAGTTGTGAAAATCGGAATGAAAAATCAAAGTTCTTCATCCACCAAGCTCAACAATGTCTCTAGCAGAAGGTGCTTCATTTTAAAACAGTTTAGCGTTAATATTTAACTTGATCATTTTATTAAGTTTTGAAATTAAATAACATACATTTTCTCTATAGCCACAGTATATTTTCCATTCGGATCTTGCGGATTGAAGATGTGGGTGTTCCTCATGTTCAGACAATTAGCGAGTAGGTGACCTCAATTCCAATGTGTTTTAACATGGAATCATTGATATATTCATTAATTTATTTATTTTCAAAGGTTGTCATTATGTGATTTGGCTGGATCTGAGCGATGTGCAAGGACTCAGAACCAAGGAGACCGCTTAAAAGAAGCTGGAAACATCAACACATCCTTGTTAACGCTAGGGAAATGCATCAATGCTCTGAGGCTCAACCAAACACAACCCAAGTGAGAAAATGTTCATTTGTAGGCTGCATTAGTTGCATTTATCTTCTATTCCATTGGTCCTTTAAACTTCCTATTGAAAGTGGAACTTAGAACTCAACTAATATGTCTTTTTGCACAGGATTCATCAGCACATCCCCTTCAGAGAGAGCAAGCTCACACATTATTTGCAGGGTTTTTTCTGTGGCCGTGGAAAGGCCTGCATGATCATTAACATAAACCAGTGTGCCTCAGTGTATGATGAAACCCTGAATGTCCTCAAGTTCTCAGCATTGGCTCAGAAGGTTTGCAGGAACCTTTATTTGATATTGAATTATCAGGCATTTTTACTCTGTTTGCTATTTATTAATTTTGTTGCTTTACGTTTTGCCTTTATAGGTGGTGGTCCTCAACCCTAAACCAGCTCCTAGCATTGCTGTCAAGAGGTCTGACAGAAATGTGTCCATGATAATCAATAATGCTGACAAGAAGGATTGGACCAGGAGAAGCTCACTCATGGGCTGGGAGATGAACCAAGAGGACATGCAGGAGGACAAAGATGATGAAGAAATGGGTGAGGAGGACGATGAGGAGTGTGACGATAAGAGCATGGAGGACAACATTGTCTTAGAGACTGTGGAAAGTCGAGAGCTGTTTGAGGTTTTTTCCATTTTAATGAATGCATGTTTTGGTTTTCAATGTTATTTTAGACTATATGATATCCTAATACGATACATTTGACACAGCTTCAGGTGAAAATTGAAGAGTTTAAAGAGAAGCTGTCCAAAGATGAGTCTGAAAAATTAACTATGGAATCTCGTATTCATGAGGAAGTCAGGAAGTTCATGGAGCTGTTTTCTAACATGGAAAAAGACTACAAGTAAGTCAAACACTGTGTTTTATCACAGATCATAGTGGTGGACTGATGCTGTACAGCCTGGCAATTGGGGAATATCACTGTGCTAATTGCGTTCAGCTAGTGTTGCACGATATACCGGTACTAAAAAGGTATCGCGATACCCCGCTTTTAAAAACGGTACGATTCCTCATTTTATTAGTACTGGTACTTTAAGAATGACAGTGTTTTAATAAGAACCGTATTTCATGAGTTGTGTCGACATGCGAGAGCAGGACAGTGTGTGTTCAGCGCTCTGCTTCAGCTCCCTGCATGAACTTTATATATCCACGCAACACAGCACTGCTTAAAGTTATCGACAATTTAGGAGTGTATAAGAAACATGCACAAATGAGAAAATAAAGCGCAGGACGTGCTTGATGTTAAAAAGAATTATTAAGCATTATAAACCTCGAAGAAAAATAACTAATGCGCTATTACACACCCGAAGCACGTGCACGGAAGTCCTCTCTCTTGCGATCGCAAATTGAGATCTCTTTCAGCAGTTACTGCACTTCAGTGGCCAAATACACACACAATTAATTTAAAATGCTGAAATGAACGTAAAAAGTTGAGAAAGAAAACGCGTGTGTATCAATAAAATGGTGCTCTTAAAAGTGACCGCAGACTAATATTCCTGCTGCTGTCTGTCTCTACAATGTTAATCAAGAAAAATAGAAAATCACTCACTAATCCTGACTAACTTTACTAGCTTTAATAAGGATAAATATATGAACGTTTCATTCATACAGTGAAGACTATGCAGTGCTTTACTTTTACATTTTGATTACTTAATTCAACTTCTGTATCATCTCTTTCTTGAATGCTACTGTTAAATAGACCTACTGTCCCTAAAAACACTGTTTATTTCATTTGTGTCTTTGTTTTATTGTATTTGTCCTTTTGTTTCTTATTTGCGTCTATATTCTTATTATTAATAACAAAAATTACTATCATGATATAAATTGTTATTGTGAAATAAAATTACTTCTAGCGTTGAATAATATTTTGGTCATATTTCCTAGCTCATGCCCTAAGCTAACTTACTAATGTTGCAAAGATCTATACATACCTGTAGGCTCGGCTGTATCTTAGTCATAGACAGGTAGTTGCTCATAGGCCTGTGAGGTGGCACTGGCATGTTTTTTTTTTTTTTTTTTTTTTTTAGGGGGGGGAAAACCCCAAAAATCAGGGCAGGAACACT